TGTGGTCGACCACGGGTCGAACCTTCAGGTCTGCACCCGCGTGGCGGACGCCAGAGCGGCCACAGTGTGGTCGGGGTTTGCGCAGTCCTGGATTAGACCCCTCGGGGCTCCCCACCTTCTCATCTCGGATGGAGGCTCCGAGTTTGTAGGTCGATTCGCCAGAGGACTTGAACACTGGGGGGTCAAGCACCATGTGTGCGACGCTGATTCTCCGTGGCAAAATGGGAGAGTCGAGCGCCACGGGGATTGGATAAAAGAGCGCGCGCGCCAAGAAATCGACTCGGGTCCCGGGGCCCCGGTGTCGCTGGAGGAGCTGGATGCCCTCGTGTACGAGTTGACCGCCCACAAGAACAGGTTCTGGCACAGAGGGGGCTTCTCCCCGTTGCAGTTGGTCTTTGGGGAAAATCCCATGCTCCCACACGAGCTGCTCTCTGACGACGCCTCTGGTCTCCCGGGCTGGCAGGACCTGGCCCGCAATCCAGCCGAGCTGGACGAGGCTGGCGCTGAGTTCTGCCGCGCTCAGGAAATCAGCGCGGCCGCCAGAAGGCTCGCCATGGAAGCCACGGCCAGAGAAAAGATTAGCAAGGCTTCTCGCGCCAGGACCCCCAGCCCCAGGAACTACACGCCTGGCCAGTGGGTGTACGTCTGGCGCCACATGGCGAGAGCCACGTCCCGGGCCGACAGCCTTGGAAGACGCCGAGATGGTTGGTGTGGTCCCGGGGTGGTGGTTCTGGCATAGGGAGGAACCGCGTGGGTCGCCGTCCGGGCTAGACTTTGGAAATGCTCGGCGGAACAGATCCGCCTCGCCAGCCCAGAAGAAGAATATGGTATACAGCTTGCCCAATCCCCGCAATGGCAAGAACTGATGCGTCAGGCCCACGCTCGGAGGGCCACAGCCGTCGACGTCCAGAAAGAAGGACCTCCTCCCGAGGACGCTTGGGACGATGCCGTTCGGAGGGAGCTGGACTCGGGTCCTCAGCTCCCCGGGGCACCATGCCCTCCCTTTCGAGAGGGAGTCCCCGCTCCAGAGACGCGACGTGCCGACGGGGCGCCTGATACCTCGGATCCCGTTTCGACTCCCGGAGCGATCCTCCGACGCAGTCCCAGAGAGGCTCCGTCAGAGAATGGATCCATGGAGGCGCAGGCGGGATCAGAGGTGACGAGGGCTCCGTCAACTGGAGGGCCCGAGGAGAGCTCAGGCCGTTCGTCTCCCCACGGAGACAGCACACCTGGGCAAGGAGTGAGGAGCGAAGAGGCTGAGCCTACCCACACCCCTGTTCTTGTTCCTTCCCAGCCCCCCGACATCCCTCTTGACGAGGGGCGGAACGCCGAGGATCCCGCGGGAGATCCCCCGGGGCCACGGCCGGAATCGCCTCGGGAACGCGCGCGAGGGCCCGTCACCCAGATTCCGAGACCGAGAAGGCTCACTCAGCCTCAGGATGCTCCCGCATGCATTTTGAGATCTCGCAGCGGCAGAGCCGCCAGCGAGCCTCCCGACAAAAAGGTGAGGATCGAGCCGCCCCCTGGCCTCTCGGAACCATCCACTCCTTGTCCTGTTGACCCCTCCTCCTCCTCGTCCTCTGCTGCCAGAGCTCCGGAGATTCTGGGCAGCGCCGAGCCACGCCGGAGCGTGAGTGACATAGTCAAGGCTCTGGAAGCAGGACGTCGACCAGGCCGTTCGAGGTCCCCTCCCAGAGAGCCAGAGAGGAGAGAGGAGCAGGAGGAAGAGGATTTCTTTTTGGTTCCGGTCGGCGAAGTCGGGTCCGGTCTCCAGGCCAGGGCCAGCGAGCAGCTTGGAGAAACGAACGCCGCCAGTAAATGAGGTGAGGTCTCGTTTAAAAACCTGACCCCGGCCGAGCGGGCCAAGTTCCAGGCCTCAGACGATAAGGAGTGGAAGTCCATGGTCGAGTCAGGGGCTGTGGAGGCCCTGGGCCCAAGAAGGCGGAAGTCGCGCGGAAGGAGCGTCCGGACCGGATCATCTCTAGCAGGATGGTCCGCAGGTGGAAGCCGGTGGAAGGCACGTTTAAAGAGCCCGAAGCAAAGTCCCGCTGACGTGTGCACGGTCACAAGGACCCCGACGCCGGATCTCTGCAGGTGCATTCTCCGACGCCACAAACATCGAGCATCACCCTGTTTGTGCAGGTTCTCATGAACCTCGGCATGGTGGCCGATATCGCCGACGTGAAAAATGCCTTCTGCCAATCCGACAAGATGGTGAGGTCCCAGGGTGAGATCTTTGTTGAACCGTGTGATGGCGTCCACCTTCCGGCAGGCTCCATCATACGCCTCAAAGTTAACGTGTGCGGCCTCGACGATGCCCCAGTAGCTTGGAGACGAACCGTTGTATCCTTTCTAGAACAACAAGGTTTCTCTCGGACTCTGCTCGAACCGTGCTAGTGGTGTCGCTATGGATCCAAAGGAGAGTTGCTAAATATGATCCTACTAGAGGTCGATGACTTCTTCATCGGGAGCCTTACGGAAGAGAGTCGGAAGTGGTTTCGAGAGCGCTTTGAATCAATATTCCGTTTTGGAAAATACCGGGATTGTCATGCAGGGCCAGTAGACTACGCTGGTAGGCGGGTGACTATAGGCCCGAACCGGGCCACTATCGATATGGAAAAATACATACTGGAAGAACTTCGGCCCATATCTCTCGCCATAGGTAGGCTCGCCGCCCGGGACACTCCCTTGGAGGACAATGAGTTCAAGGCGCTACGCTCTCTCGTTTTTAAGTTTAACTGGATAGGCCGAGAAGCTCGTCCAGAGGCCTCGGGACCGGCAAGCATTCTTGCTGGCCGTCTCAAGGCAGCCACCACCGGAGATGTCAGCCTGGCTAACAAGCTCGTTAAGCACCTCAGGGCCACCGCCTCCCGTGGTATCATCGTGTGGAAGCTCAATCCAGAACGCATGTCCTTCGCCTCGTTCTCAGATGCGGGGGGCATCGGGGGACCCAGCCTAGGCGACGATCGAGGTCTCCCAGAAGATCCCACACAGGGTGCTTGGATGGTATTGGCCTGCGACAAGAGCATTGCCGAGAACCGATGTGTCAAGGCGTCAATTCTAGGATGGCGCAGCTCCAAGCTGCGCCGCAAAGTACCATCCACTCTGGCTGGCGAGACACAAGCTCTGGCCGCAGCTATTGCTGAGGTGGAATACCTCCAGATACTGTATCGTGATGTGGTTTTTCGAGATGTGACTATTCGAGACCAGCATAGATGTTCCGGCCCATTTACTACAGTACTACGTCGTGAGTGCCGTTTGGGCGCTCGGGAGGGCCAGATTCATCTTGTGGACGCAAAATCTATATACGATACTATGCTCAAGGAGGGTAGCGCCAGTGCGAAAGACCGCCGCACGGCGATCGACTTAGCCATCATATGTGAAGCTCTGGAACAGGCGTCAGGACGTATCCGCTGGATACCCCACGGGAGAATGCCTGTAGATGCGCTCACTAAAGACGACGCGACCAAGTGCAATGCCGCACTTTTTGATCTGATGACCAGCGGGAGGATAGTACTGGTGGACGAGGGGGCCGAGGTGGACAAGAGGCGGGAGGACCCAGGCCTCAAGATAGATCCCAGGCGGCCTCCCGGAAGCTTCTGGACAGTCAATTCATCAGCGTCGCGTGTTCCCAGGAGGATCGTCCCCATCCAGGTCCCGGAGTACGACCAGTCTTCGGTGGTGGTGGTGTGGTTGGTGGTCTTTCCTCCTCCTCTTCTTTTCCCTCCTGCACTATTCCCTGTCTGTTTCAGCCGGCCAGTGTAAGCCTCGTCGATTTCAATTTTCAGTGATTGATATTCGAGCCATTCGCCCGGAGACAGGCAAGGAGACCTTGACGAATTCAGGTGCTTTCTGTCCCAAGGCCAGGTTGTCGGACACAGGTTCGACGATCAGAATTCTTACTGTTTCTAGAAACTGCTGAACCTACAAGAAAGTTTTGGGCATGTGAATGCCATCCAGATTTTAATCCCTAGGTTCAGCATTTGGAGAGTCCGACCGTTTCGCGTTCTGGCTCAAGGGAAAAACATCCCAGGGGTGATCTGCTGCCACACTATGGCGCGCCACTCCTCGATTTGTTCGTCGCGCCACGCGCGAGCTGGCTGCGCGCATCGTTCGGACTGCTGGCGCCCCAGCGCCGCACCCGCTGTCTGTCCTCGGGTGTTGCCTCCTGGTCGAGAGGTGTGCTTCCGCATGAGTTCGGCATCGCTCGGACGTGTGCGCTTTTTCTCGGCGAGGACCATCGCGGAGCATCGTGGACCAGCCTGCGACAAAAGGTGAACGCACGAAACCGACAAGTGCGCGGGGAGTGGGCGCGCGAGCGATGGCAAGTTCGGCCTTGCGGAGGGGGCCTTTATTCATGTGGCGCAAACGGCCCCAGCGACCGTCACCTTGGCGCCCCCGGGCTGAGCTCTTGGTCTCTCGGGCGCCTTGCTTGCGCCGCTTTGCTTTGACTTTCGCCACTTTCCGTCGCACCGTTTGGCGGTGTGTTGCGCTGCTTGGAACAACACTGTTTTGTTTCGAATGGCGTTGCGTTGCCATTTGTGTTTCTAAGAGAGCTGACGTCACAATCGATATAACATGATTGTGCGCTACTGTACTTGACATGTTTGCGCTGCGTTGCAGTGCTCCGTGGTGCGTTGTGTTACTGTGCTTCGGAGTACACTTTGTCCTTGTATCGCGCTGTTTTGCAGGACGTTGCATTGCTGTTTGCGGTATTTGCATGATTTTGCACCCCCCTGCACAGCGTTGTCTTGCTCTGCATGGGTTTGCGCAGAACTGCTTTGATGTGTGTTGCTTTGCTGTGTTGTGCGGCGGGCTCGTCTGCACGAGATTGCATCCCTTGTCTGTGTTCTGCGTCGTTTCGCGTTGAGTTGATGTGCGCAGCATTCCGCTGCTGTCTGCTACATTACATTGCGTAGATTTGACTCGTTCGAGCGTATGCCATTGGTTTGCATTGCTGCGCTCTGCGTTGCACATTTGGTGATCAAGAAGACCTTCGCCCAGCGTCCGTAGCCGTTTTGGCTCAAGACGCCCAGAGCCTTGCCTCGGCCACCGCTCACGCCCGCATACCCCGCGTGCACACACATGGCTTTGCCGTCGAACAAAAGGCTGGCTGCTGGAACGATAGGTGCCGTCCTCGCGGCCAGGTGCGCTGTCCTCCTTTCAGGATGTGATGATGCTGCAGTGGTTGACGCAGAACCGAATGTTGCCCTGGCTGGGCTCGCAGAGGAGGTGATGGTGCAGAGGGCCCATGGCACGTGCGTCGGCCCTCCTCGGAGCCCGCTGCGATGGGGTTCTGATGTGGGCACGGCTGACCGCATCTGCTGCTTCAACCGCCACTACGCCGAGTACGGGGGATATTTTCAAACAACCACTTTCTTCGACGATCAGAGGTCAGTCGAAACGACTGTGTTCTACGATAGCATCACTGGGCACCCGCTATTCGAAGCCCCCATCGGCCGTAGCTTCGATGAGTTTTATACGGAAAGCGTTCAGCACGGGTGGCCGAGCTTCCGCGACGCCGAAGTGCGCTCCGATTTCGTTCGAGTGTTGGAAGATGGAGAGGTCGCGAGCGTGAATGGTACACACCTCGGCCACAACCTCCCTGACAGCAAGGGGAACAGATATTGTATCAACATCGTCTCCGTGGCTGGATAATCGAAGAATCATTTGCAGGTTGGGCGCGGATTCTCTTCGCCGACTTCAAGTCGTCGCACACAGCGAGGTCTGCCAGGCCGTTGCACCATAGCCACTGGTGGTAGTGAGACGGCGGGCGCCAGAGGCATCCGACGACACGCCGCAAGTGCGAGGAGCTGTTCGTGGCGCTCGTGAAATATTGACTTTGGCCCAGCGGCGTTCCACCATTCACGTTTCGAGTGGGTCTTACGCAGTACTTGTCACATCTGACCCCCGAATCCATGCCTCCCTCCCCCCCTGATTCTTTACTACTCCCTGCTTCCTCCCTCCTCCAGGGAGGAGCCCCGAAGGCCAAGCAGAGCCTCGGATCGCGCACTCCAGGCACTTGAGCTGAATTTTTGGGGTTAGGTTTTCACACAGGTCAGACTCGTGTACCTGCAGAACTCCGCCGCCGCCACTACTCCTCCCCGTTTCTTAGGCCACTGCACCTCCAAGCGCCCCACCCCTTCCCCCCCTTCCCCCACCCGTACCCCTCCCTTCTCATCGTCCTTCCCCTCCCTGCCTCTTCCCAGGAGGAGGCACGGAGGGAAAGGATACGGAAAGGGAGGGACAGGAAGGGCGGAGGGGAGGAGACAGGGCGGAGGGAGCAGGCCTCATCCCTCGTCTCTTCGAGTAGGAGATCGACTACATAATTGATTTAGCCCAGACTTCATTCGTTCGTCGAATCTACGAAGCATGCTCATAATGTTCGTAGATTTACAAAAGCTGGACGCTTCGAAGATGCGGCCACGAATTGAACTTCGGGATGAATCGATTGCGCTCCCCTACTCCATCTCCGTGCCTTCCCCCGCCCCTTCTCCGCTCTTCCCCCTTCCACCCCCCGGACCTCGCAATGGAGACCCCCGGACATCTCGACCCCCTCCTCGGGACCAACTTCTGTTCCTGATGATAAGTTTGTGGTCGGCCCCGGGCCCTTGTAATGGCGTCCAGAGGCCGAGGACTGCCCAAATTTGTCCTTGTGATTTTTCGCGACGCCAGGGGGCCTGGGCCAACGGCTGGGCCCACGGGCAAAAGTCGGGCCCTTTTCCTGGGCTGCGTTTGGATCAGAATCTCGAGGCGGGTCCAGCCGTGGCGACCAGAGCGCCCGACGAAGCCCAGAAAGGCCCAGCAATCTCGATCCTCGAGCCCGATGCTCGTCTTCCCTCCTCCCCCCCCCTGTGGGCCCAGTGGACCTCCCCAACCCCGTACTCCTCCCGGGGCAAGGCGAGCGGCCTGAAGCGGCCCGCCCTCGGCAGCAGCAGCTCGCTCGGCAGCGCCGCCAGCCGCAGCGTGATGAGCCTCGGCAAGTCGACCTCCAGCCTGCGCCCAGCTCGGCCCCCCCCCCCTCCGCCTGCAGCGCATGGGGGGGGAAACCTCTCGGGGGTGGAAGCCTCGACTCGCCGACAGATCGCCGAGGGGCCCCCCCCCGAGGGCACCCTGCGGGGGGCGCGCAGACCATCGCGCTCCGCGCGGCTGGCGTCCTGGGCCAGGGCGGCTGCCCTTCTCGGGGGGGGGGCGGGGGCGGCGCGAGGATACGAGGGCGCGGCGAGAAGCGCGCGTCGCGCATCGCGGGGCGCGAGGCGCGAAGTTGGGTGACATACGCTCCTGGGCGGGGCGGGCTGTCCGGCCCCCGGCGGCGATGAGTGGGCGATTGGGGGCCGCTTCGTCCCCCCTGAGCCTATGCCCCCCTGGCGTTGTTCCCGATCGCTCGCCGCTCATGAAGCAGGCAGATCCTGAGAGGAACGGGTCGGGCGGTGTTTCGCCAATTCGAGCTCCTGCGTTCGGGGGGGGGGGGGGGCACGGGTCCTGAGGGACACGGGTCCCACGGAGAGTGGCTCTGCTACCCTCTGCACCATAATGCGCGTTATGCCCCCCCGCCCCCACTCCCTCCCCTCCCTCTCCCCTTTCCCACCCCATAACGTAACGCTACCTTCCTCCAGTGCGTCCCCAACACTGCCGCAGTGCGTCTGGCACCAGTCTGTCATAGTGGTGGGCGGGGGCGTTGCTTCATCCCATTACCGCCGTGAATAAAATACTCTGCGACGTACCCAACCCATGTGCATCGGGGTCCCGCGGAGCGCTGTCGCCGCCCGCCCGCAGACCTGGCGGCTCGCCTTCGAGTGCTGAGCCCCCGCAGAGAAAAGTTCAGGAAGGAAGCAGGGAAGCTGGCGGGCGAGCCAGGCCTCGCTTGCTTCTTGCACTAACAGCAATCAGGTTTAATCATTTTGTCGGGCGCCGCGGCGTCCTGGCGCAGGCAACGCTGCATCTTTAGCGTACTACCGACAGAAACAACACTCTTCGGTCTCCTCCCGTCACTTTCGTCGTTGTCCTCTGCCCCCTGCCACCTTTCTTCTGCTGCTGCCGCGCTGACGGTTCCCCCACACACACACACACACACACGCACACACACACACACACACACCACACACACACACACACCGTGCACGTCTTTCGCCTGCCCTTCGTTCCCGCCTCCATGTCCCCCTCAAGCCTGGGCCGTCGCTCCCTGTCCTTCTGTTGTTGTCCTGTGAATCGTGCCACGTGAGTGCACTCTATGTTGCCTGCACGACATATAACGGCGCCTGCACCGCGTAGGACGTCATTGTGCTGGACCCCCCCAGCAGGCCTCGAGAGTGGCGACAGTACCACAGATCGCAGCCCCCAGGGATGGCGTCGTATTTGAATTTGCGTAGGACGTCACTGTGCTGGGCCCCCCAGCAGGCCTCGAAAAGTGGCGACGGTTTCACAGATCGCAGCCCCCCAGGGACGGCGAGGTGTGATTTGAATCCGCGTGGGACGTCACTGTGCTGGACCTTCCAGCAGCAATCGAAAGTGGCGACAGTTTCACAGATCGCAGCCCCCCAAGGACGACGAGGTGTAATTTGAATCCGCGTAGGACGTCGCTGTGTTGGACCCCCCAGTAGCATTCGAAAGTGGCGACAGTTTCACAGATCGTAGCCCCCCAAGGACGACGAGGTGTAATTTGAATCCGCGTAGGACGTCGCTGTGTTGGACCCCCAGTAGGCGTCCTAAACTGGCGACGGTTTCACAGAACGCAGCTCCCCTGGGATGGCGACGTCTAAATTGAGTCAGGATAGGACGTCGCCGTGCTGGACCCCCCAGCAGCCCTCGAAACTGGCGACGGTTTCACAGATCGCAGCCCCCCAGGGATGGCGAGGTCGAATTTGAATCCGCCCAGGGCGTCACTGCGCTGGACCCCCCAAAAAGCATCCGCATGTGGCGACAGTCTCACAGACCGCAGCCCCCCAGGGATGGCGTGGTCGAGTTTCAATGTGCGTATGACGTCACTGTGCTGGACCCCCCAGGCAGGCCTCAAAAGTGGCGACAGTTTCACAGAACTCAGCCCCCAAGGGATGGCGAGGTCGAATTTCAATCCGCGTAGGGCGTCGCTGTGCTGGACCCCCCAGCAGCTCTCGACAGTGGCGACAGTTTCACGGATCGCAGCCCCCCAGGGATGGCGTGGTCGAGTTTCAATGTGCGTAGGACGTCATTGTGTTGGACCCCCCTGCAGCCTTCGAAATTGGCGACGGTTTCAGAGATCGCCGCCCCCCCCCCCCGAGGCACGACAGGAGGAGGCAGGAGGGAGTCGGGAAGGAGAGAAGGAAGGACGGAGACCACAGTGCATTTTTCAAAACGAATGCCCAACCAAGGAGGTTTGGGAAAAAGCTCTTACGAATTTCCGTCTGAAAACGGTTCAGGATGGAAAGCGGTTTTGGGTACAGCCTTGGGGCCCAGGGCCCGTTTCCCTCACGACCCGCTTCCTTCATGCCAAGTTCGGTTGCACGTAGTTAATGGGTGACCTCCCGCTGCATGGACCTTTGGTGCGGCTCCACTGGGGCCCCCGATCGCCCACTGCAATGCGACATCAGCGTCTTGCGCGCCTGGGTTTGCCCCCTCCCCCCCGCGCGCTCGCCCGAAAGCCACTCACCCAAGGTCACGCTACTCTTGTCCAGGGTCACGCTGACTTGCAGCCGACCCACGGAGGTCTTCGAACCCCTGCCACATTGGACGTCACAGGAAAATAATCGCGATGGCAAGTTGTTCGACGTCTTCGGCGCCTGGAGGCTGTTTCACTGCTCCAGCACCCTCGTCCTCCTCCGTCAGCCCCGTGAGCAGGAGCTGGGGCGTCTGCCACCTCTTCAGCCCCCCCCCCCTTCCACTGTCTGGTGAGCACTCCGTGTCCGTGGCCATCCGCAGTTTCGTTGGGCGGCCGCACACGATCTGCCCAGGGCTGGTTCGCGTCAAAGCCACTGGCGGGAGACGCCTCCGAAGTAACGGTCAGAGGATGAAAAAGTTACCGATGCCATTGCCCTTGCCTTGTGCTCGCTTTTGGGCCTCCTTTGAGGCCCTCGTAGGCTGGGTTCGCCTCGAAGTCCTGGTCAGGACGCTTCCCGGAAGAGGCCGGGATGGTAGCGACATCGGTATCGCTTGGTTTCCCCGAATGTGTATGTGTGTATGTGTGTATGCGTGTGTGTATGCGTATGTGTGTGTGTGTGTGTGTGTGTGTCTGTGTGTGTCTCTGTGTGTGTGTCTGTGTTTGTGTGTGTGTGTATGTCTGTGTCTCTGTTTGTGTCCGTGTTTGTAGTGTCTGAGTGTGTATGTGTGTGGGTGGGGGGTGGGGGGGCAGAAGGTCTTTGGCTTGCAGGCATCCAGGCCCTGGGCGTGGGGGCTGGGGGTGCTCCTGCCTCCCGCCTTCCCCGTTGGCAGTCGGACCGAGCCCTGCCTAGGGCTGGCAGACCACACCCCTCATCCTCGTGTCGTCCGCCACGGTGGGAGAAACCCCACTCACTGCGCGCAGGGGGCCTGAGCGCGTCATGCGAGCAAGTCCCCGTCACCCTCCCTCGGAACGGGGCGGCCCGAAGTGAGCGCGAGTGCCCCTCTCCACCCCCCATCCCCACCCTCTCCTCCCTCCCCCTGCCCCCTCCTCCATGCCTCCCTTCTCGTCCTTCGCGTCGTCAGAGCGACGGCTTCTCGGCTCAAGCAATGGCCGCCCAGTCGTGCTCGGACTTCGATGCCAGGCCGAGTGGGGAGCGCGCTGCTCAGTGCAGCGCAAAGATCCACATGTGCCGAGACAATCATGGGACTTCGGCGGCCCACATGTAGAGCGTTCTCCTCACCCCTTGAAGGGGATCCCCACTCAGGGTCGCCCCTCTGTCCTGAGTCTCGCAGTCATGGGGCCCTCGCTACCAACCTCCATTCACGAGTTGGGGCTCTCCCCAAGTAAAGGGTGCTCCACCGTTGCCACATTCTTCCATGACCTCGAAGGACTGTCTAATGGCGCCCCGCCCGCTCATAGACCTGGAAGCTCGGTCAGTGATCCTCCAGTCACCCACCCTTTTCTTCCTCATTCTCGGCCTCCCCCTGCTCCCCCCACACATCCCCACCCTATCACCGTCTGTGGAATACCGCATGAGGTTACGAGAAAGTCAAAGGCAGCACGAGGAAAGATACCAGCTTAGTCGACCTCCAATTGGTGGTTGCCGAGTGGTCGCTGATGACTAGCCGGGCGCTATCGCGCAAGCGTGGACATCAGCTGCATGGCAGCGGCAGCGTCCTGGCCATCACCTCCAGTTTTCATCCATATCGCTGGCATTGGCTGTGCATGTCGGCACCACTGGTGGCCTGCTGCCGCAGAGAAGGTGTGAGTAACTCATAGATGTGCACGTCTGGCACTTGAAAGGCACGTGAGGTGCTCTGTGCGCCAATTTGCACAGCATGATCCACCCGTGGCGCCATCCTGACCGACCTCCGATCACTACCACCATTAAAGTTATTACCGCCGCTACTAGTTACTAGTGCTACTTGTTGTAGTCTTAGGGCCACAACAATTACGATTCTTTCTGTAACTACTACCACCACCACTACGACAGGTAACATTACCGCTAATGTTGGGAGCGCCAGTTATTCACAGCCAGGATAAAGTTATAGCAACATCAACGAGACGATTGTCTTGAATGATTTTGCGCACGGGAACGCCCAAATTGGATTATTAAGCGACATTCGTTTTTCAATGTTGGCAGCGTGCGCAGGCGTGCTCCATGGGCCAGGTCATTGATATGCCATGCTTTGGCTTGCGCGCCCGGTGGCGGCATTGGGAGGCGGACGCCACTTAATGCCCGGGTGCTCTTCCAAACTCATCCTTCACAGGGCCGCTGGCGTGAGCAGTTCCACGTTCTGCCGTGCGGTTCGTTCCCACCGTCGGATGGCTAACGTGCACCGCGCGATGCAGACGAGACGTCCTTCCTAAACATTGCCAGGCCGATGTCGCTTCGTGCGACGGGCCCCGCCTGGTCTGATTCAA